GTGAACAAATTCATCCCTGTACAATGATCTATGCCTGAAGAAAATAATTTCTCATAATAAAATTTTACCCTGTCAACTTTACAATGTAAATAAATGGACTTCAAAATGTAGATATTTTAGCTTCCATTTATTTTTAAAGATATATATATATGCATATATATATATATATATGATTTTATATTCCTGGGTATTGAGATCCATTCCTTGAGTCATAAAATCCTTATTAGTTTTATTTATTTTGTTATAGTCTTGCGAATAAACTGAGATGTTTTGAACTTGTCTTGAATCTGCCCTCCAGACCCTAGCAAAATGTATGTCATAGTTAGTAGTATTATAGGATTGACCTACAAAGCCTAAGTAATAGAAAATCACATATACAGATGTTGTTACCACTATTTTCTGGAGTTCTTGACTCTACAGAATATGACAATTACCAATCATAGTTGGACAATGACTGTTCAGTACATGATCAAATCTGTGTGCTGATGAGTGAAAGTCGTTGGTTTTACTGCTGAAAAAACTAGGAGAACAAAGAGGAAAGCATCACTAGGGAAATTCGGAAACATAAACTATGTTCAGATGTAATTCTATGCAGAATCTTTTTTTAAAGTTAATAAAATTATCTTTATTTTTGTGAAAATACCATACAGTGGGGTTACAATTACATGAGCAAGATAATGAGTAGATTTTTTATCAAGCGTTGTTGCCTCCTCCTTTGTTTCCCCATACCATCCTTTCCCCTCTCCACCCCCCACAACCCCGACCACCATCCCACCAACTCCACCCCCCACCCCTCCAAAGTTGTAAAGTTAGATTTTCAACATAACGTCTTATACATCTCATTGTTGTAATGGATCCACCTGTAGCCCTATTTAAACAATTTGTTTTTTCCCTTCCCCTCCACAAATTATATCAACATCAAATACAGTGAAAGCAGAGCTTATACCCTGCGGGAGGTACATACAAAGCAACAAAGAAATCATCATATAAATATGTTGGAAACAATCGCAAGAAAGAAAAAACATTTGAATCCTTATCTTGGGGATCATTTTGCCTAACATTAACTTGTCTGACAGTTTCTGTTTGTCTCAGACATATACTAGTTATTGCAAATAAGGGAAATAAGTCTTTCTATTTTGTGTTTAAATTCACTGAGAAGGTTAAACAACTCTAATTTTGAGGCAATTAGCATCCTGCAATACCAACTCACAGTTCCTCAGTCCTGTTCAATTCTTGTATAGCACAGAGTACTATCCTTGGACACAGAGTAGGTAAACCCTGTCTGTTTGACTCCCTGAGAGCCAGAAATTCAGCTTTGATTTTTATCTTGGGATCTGAATGGCAATGTAAATTACTACTGGGCCTCAGTACTGTTGAACTTGGAAGGGAACTGCACTCTTAGTTCTTTGAATATACATGGGAGCCAAATAATTTACTCTTTTGCACAATTGAGTCAGAAAACCTACTTGTACATATATTTGTACATGTAGCCTAGATCACAAATGTTCTGCCAACACCAGGTGCTTACTAGCCTAGGACACTAATAGAATGTGGAGCATCATTTATCAAGTGGGATTTCTCTCTCACTATCTCTGTTTCTCCCTCTCCTTCCCCTCCTGTGCAACCGTGTGTGTGTGTGTGTGTGTGTGTGTGTGTGTGTATGTGTGTGTGAGATAGAGAGTGTGTATATGTCTTTCCTGTTCATCAGGAGTTGAACAATCTCTACCATGTTTCCTCAACCACACAGTCACAAAAGCAGTAAGAGAGCTCACCAAGATCTGAAAACTCTATACACAAAAACCAACTAATTTATTCCTTCTAGAAATTTTTGGACAGGGATAAGAAGCTGACTAATGCTTAGGCAGAAACATTTCTAGAGTATAATAGACACCAAAACTCATCTATGCAATTTTTTTCTATGAAAACATTGTTTTCAAATTTACAAAATCAGTAATGTACAGACTACTCAGAGGCAATCAAACCCATTTAAACTGAGTCAAGATCACATGATTGGTGACGAGGAATCTCACACAAGGGAATTGTATTTTTTATTTTTTATTAATAATTTTTCTTAATATTTTATAATAGAATGAAATGAATAAACTTTCATGAGACTCTTTTTCCATACAGAGGGAAATATTTTTTTGCATACTTTTATTGCTATTATACAGAGGGGTTCCAGTTATTTAAGTATGTAAGGTCTACATTTTGTTGGTAACAGTGTCAACCTCTTCTCTCACCTTTTCCCAGTTTTTTCCCTCCAACCCACTGCCTCACAAGATGTATAGATGCTATATCGAAAAACTTTACAACTTTGACGGGGTGGGGGAAGAGGGGGGAGATGGGAGGGCAGGGATGGGAAGGGGAAACAAAAGAGGAGGCAATAATGCTTGATAAGAAATGTACTCATTATCTTGCTCATGTAATTGTAACCCCTCTGTATGGTATTTTCACAATAAAAACTTATTAATTAAATAAAAAAGATGTATAGTCCATTCCCAGCAGAGTCCTAGTGAGTATCAGTGCTGAATTAATTCACCCTTTGTCTCATTTTTTCTGTTCTTCCTCTTACCCTTCCCCAAAATAGATATTCTTGCACATAGACAAAATACAAAGGAATAAAAAATAATGACAAAAGGACAAAAACAGGAAAAAACACAAAAAAGTAAAAAATATCCTCTTGTTTCCATTTCTTGGGGTTCATTTCAATAAGCATCATTTTATATGATCATATACACATACCTATTGAGTCTTTGTGATCCTCTAAAGAATATCCTACTTTGGTCTCACTGTATAAATGTTTAGAGTTCTGTTTAATTTATCATGACAAGTGTAAATTTTTTTGTCTTTTACTATCCTTTGTGTTTACTTGTAGATTTAGTAGCACATTCTAATACTACAAATGAGGGAAATCATGCAACCACCTATATTTCTTAAGCTCTAGCTTATTTCATTTAATATAATTTTTCCAAGTCTTTCCTTTTCCTTATGATGGGCAATGCCATTCTTTCTGATGGAAGCACAGAATTCCATTCTGTATACATACCACATTTTCTTGATCCATTCATGCACTGAAGGGCATCTGGTTGATTCCATATCTTAGCTATGTTAAACAATGTAGAAGGATTATTTAATTAATAGCAAAGGTAGTGCTGCCATACTGTGTAGTTCATAAAGTATTTATAATATATTACTACTATATTTCTGTGATATATAGAATTATATGACCTATCACTGTGTTGATAACAGGTTGTACTATGTGACACATACCCAAACCTATCATAACATGCCATGATTATGTTCAGTGTTATAGTGTTTTTTGAGTAAATGTTTCAATATGTAGTTATTTTCCTACAGTACTAACTCACCATATAACATGATTGGTAATATCATATTGGGAAAAACCATGTTTTCCTATCAGTCATTGACTGATATCTAAGAAAAATGTGATGGAGAAAGATGTGGACTGAAGAACAGGTGTAAAAGGACAGGATAAAATAGATCAACCTCCTGGGATGTACATTTTCTTTATAGCTCCAGATTTCAACTTGGAAGCACTAGATCAGGGAATCTTACCAAATTCCTACTTAAGTCATGAATCTCCAAATCAATATTTCAATACAATAAAAACAATATTACTATATATTAGATATTTTTCTGTTATTTATCTTATAATTTCGGACATATGTTTACATTTGCTTAATGTTTGCTAGATTACAATTTGTTCTTTAAATTAAGGGATCCAAAAGTCACATAAATTTCATATTGCTATATGTTCAGAATTACCAAACTTATTTGAGGCCTCAGCTAATTTCAAATATTATTTTTCTATCATGCCACTGCTTATACATACATTTACAAAATGAAGGGAGTACAGAAATAGAACCTCAAAACCTTGTTTTTATAGTTAACAAATTATGGAAATGATCCCTGAAA